TTTTTGACGGCGGCTCAACACCCTCTTTCTCTTTCAATCTATCAATCAAGCATAAGTAATTCCTACTCAATTCCTACCTCCGTTCCTCACATTTAACCTATTTCCTAAGCTATTAATTTCAATAGCCTCTTATCTTTATTTCAAACTCAGACGTATCATAATCAGCAAACCTATTAGCTTGAGAACATTTTATTTCATGTCCAGCTTCTACCATGTGTTCGGCCACTTCTGACCGTTTGATCCAGCTATCTTTGCATGCATTTTTGTGTTCTACCAATCTTTATCGAATAGGTCGGCATGTCTCACCAACATAACATCGACCACATGAGCAAGCAATCTTGTAGCAGCCGGATCTCGATAATGGGTCATATTTCACTCTGAAAGATGGCATACTAGAAGAAAGTAAAGGACTACTATATTAAATAGTCGTTGATGATTATCAACTTTAAAAAAAAGCAGCTTTAATTGATTGTTTCTTTAGCTCATATAAGTAGACTTATAATAATTGTTTTCACTTATGCCTTAATGACTTCTCAGTGATTTTGTAGAATACAAGAGCTGCGTTTGCCCATATTAAGTTTTTCACAAATTGCATCTTCCAGAAATTACCAATAGGAAAATATGAATGTGATAGAAATATTTTTTTAGGTGAAGTTCCAGCGAAATCTCTCTTCTTAAACTGCCAACCACATCTTGCAACTTACAAATGTTTTAAAGATCTTATTTTATATTGAATTGATTATATGATTCTACTGAAGACAATAAAATAAATCTATTCATGAGGTTATTTTATGAAAGTTGTGACTATAAAGGTCAAACTGACGCATAGATTCGTGCTTTAAAATTTTTTTGAGTGGTTAGTTTTCCGATAATATTCAATCTTTTAGTGAATTCTTGTTTGATAGAAATCAGACTACTTTTATTTTAAAGCATTTAAACAAATTTGGCACTTAGTTGAGAGCTTCTATGTTAACCTAAAATATTATTCCTATTTATGATTAGAATTCTCATAAAACAGTTTTCCATTCTGAACTTTGCCAGGTGGTCTACACTCAGGCACAGACTCTTCATACTCTTGCTACTCATCTTCTCGGTTGGACGCTTTTAGCAAACAATTCAACTTCAGGGCTTCCTCCGTTAGTATCCCCAATAGATGATGGTCCAGTCGCGGTTAAGTTGTTTGCTTCACCATCTGGAAGATTGTAAGTGCTTGTTTTAATGTACTAACATAATATTGACTTTAATTCTTCAGCATACCTATAGTGTGCTTTTTTTTCATATTCAGCATTGTTTGCCTTCAGGCCAGTGCCTATTCCGGTGTCCAACTATTTGCTGCGCGCGCCTCTCCCTCTAACGAACCGAATTCTACCTTTCAGCCGAGCTCCCTTTCTGGGCGAGGTCATTTTATTTCCTTGCGTCAGGTTGGAAGTGATGGTCTTCCGCAAGGACCTTGGGGGTTGCGCTTTCGCGAAGTCGATCTAGATGCTATCACAGGCCCACACACAGTGGCTCGCGTGGAAGTTGTAATGATTGCTTTGAATTAAAGAAAGCAGCTGAATACATACATAATTTGTCCTCTAAGGCTGCAGACATAAGCCTAACCCAGATTTATCTTGATAATTTTGGGTTGGAAAGAAATTCAAGAACGCACCACGCTTTTATGGTTGGGGGAACCAGTCTTGTATTGACAAATTATCCCCTTATTGTACATTTGACTTGAATTATACATATTGACTTTTTTTTAAATCTTATGCTTATTTTTGTTGCTTTATCTTTTTGTTATCTAGTCCTAAAGAACTACCGTTATGTCCATTTCAAACTTAAGATTTCGTGTTAAGTCAATACTTTGTAGCGTAACAGCCCCTCAAAGAAAAGTCGCCAAAATTACTAAGTCCGTAGCAGCAGAAACAATCATAGCATCCCTCCTTAATATTGGAGTACCTTTCATTTTGATTAAAGAGGAGATTGGAAGGAATTCATAAATTGGTCTTATCAAAAGTTGAGGTGGAGAATTTATGGAATAGCTGCTAAGAATCTCGTTTAAGTTTTACTTTCCATTATCGATACATAGCTGAACCTGCGCAGAATAAAAAAAGCTTGATTTTCTTTTTTTTCTTTTATCGTTTTATTTATCCGAAAATACAAAAAAGAATGTCTTCCTACAATCCTAAACTTTTCAGCGAAATGAATTTAACCACACTGCGATTGGCTTTTAAACTGAACAATATACCGTGATATCGAATACCCTTTCTTCAAACTCGATAATACCGTCGTACAGCCCGTGATTTCATTTTACGGTTGAATGTAAGGCATTGTGCAAATCTCTGGCCTCACTTGCGGGACTTGCTTTCAAAGAATATACACAACATTGAAACAGTAGTGTTGGCTATATTTCGCTTTCGCAAATTGTATGGAGCATCAGGGAGACCTAGTGGACGTACCTGGTCCTGTATCCTCTGCTATAGTATCCGTGATTTCCAGCATCAAACCATTGACTTAGTACTTTCGCTAACGTTTCGCTGGCATTATCAGTGAGTGGCATCATCGTTAGTATAGAGTTGCAGCATATCAAAGTGACAAGTGAAGGCAATCTCCTTGACCAATTTTCTGTTCAGCTGTTGTAGCATCACTCCTTGCTTCTATTTTTTGCCATACCTTCTTGTGTTGCATCTATTTCTCTCAACCCCACTTCATATGGTCCATCTACCTATTGATACAGTTCTGTGCTCTCGTTTCCCCCAATGTCGCCTAAGAGTGTGTCGCTAGAAGTGGGTTTAGTTAAGTGTAATCATCTCCATCACCGGTACCAGGTGCCGTTTGCAGGGCTGCTGACCTCTATTCAGCCCCTCTTCTCCTACTCCGCTAATCACTTGGTAGATTTTTTACATCAAAATGATTGTCTGACTGGCTGCCCGATAGCCTTCAATTCCCGTCCCAGATTACGCCATATTCCGGATTTAGAGTAGATGATGTCCATGCTCAAGCCAATGTTTGGGACTTTCTCTCCATAGGCTTCAAATCCATTACTCAGCTATCATTTTTTTCTTCCCCACCCACATTGTGTCATTCTTTGGGACCCTTTGTCCGGCTTAAGACAACTGCTGGTGTAAAAATGCTTCGCTTCCCTTATTCTTCTCCTGAATCGCTAAAAGCACACTCTTGTCCCTCAAGTTGACATTCATCTAACCCTAGGTTACTAGGATGTTCATGTGTGTGTTGGCTGGTGTCTCCCGTGGTCAAGCCTTTCACCAGTCACCTCCCACTAAGGCACACACTGATAACCTATATCTTTAGCCCTTGATTTCCTATCCCACATCCCTCAGGTAGACTCCCCGAGTAAATTTTTGGCCGATTCCAGGTTTGACTCCTCTGACTCAAACGCCTTTCTTGATTTCCCTTTGTTCTTCATTAGCCGTCCCTTTGAGATGTCTATTCCTGTTGAGACGTCCTGGGTCCAAGCGTTTTCTTTTTAAGGTCTTTGTCGGATTTCCAAGTCTGCCTACGCATCATGCAAAATTATTATTGACTCTTCCATCTTCTAATTTCCTGTTCATCAGGCTTCTTTGATAGAGTATGTCCGCAGCCTATTTGATCTTACGGTTTATGGTGTTCCCATATGAGCCATATACACGGCACCTGGTGTCGGTGGTAGAAAGGATTACGCCTCAATAAAGCCACTTGTAGCGATACACTCTCAGGCAACATTAGAGAGATCGGGAGCACACTATTGTGTGGATAGGTGGATGGGCCATATAAAGTGAGGTTGAGAGGAGATGCAGCACTGGAAGGGCGAGGAGTGATGCCACAGCAGTTGAATATCAAATCAGTCAAGGGGATTGATCTCACTTGTAACTTTGATTGGTTGTAACTCTGTGTTGATGATGGCATCTCTAACTGACGATGCCGGTGAAACGCTTGATAATGTACCGAGTCGATGTCCGATGCTGGACTTTACGAATACTATGGAAGAAGGCACTGGACTAGGTTCCACGAGGTCTTCCTGAGGCTCGGACCAAGTTGCGATAACCAAGTCGAACCAACATTATAAAGCTAAAGGAGACGGCGATTCCATGGAAGGCCACATCATCTTGTTCTTTATATCTAATTTGAAATAATATTTACATAAGCTATCTTGAATGGCCCTAGCTCTTCATCTTAGAATTTCATTTGTATCGTTTATTTGTATAAGTCGGAAACATTATTTTTTAGTCACTGGGGCCAGTATAAAAATTGTCATTGTTCTGCTATAATAGATATTCGCTGGATCATCTATACAAATCCACTAGTTTTCTACTCACTGTCTCCTAAATCGGGTTAATAATACGGGGCTCCCATCAACAGAGCTGCAAGCTTGATCAAGCTAGAAGCCATGTGGGACTAATACTAAAGGTGAATGAAGGCAAATTCCAGCATGACACCATTATACTTACGAGATCTTGGAAAGCTCAAGATAAATGAGAGACACAAGTGTTCGAAGCTTAGGTATCGTAACCTACAGTTAGTTGAACGACCCTTCGGTTTTGGAAGGCTTCAGTAAACATTTTGTTGGAATATGAGATTCATTCACCCTATTTCGTTTAAGGTGATGAAGGACTGGTAGTTTAATTTTTTCGCAATGATATGAGCAGACTTGACGTTTCCATTGAATTCCGCATAGCCCTGGTTGGTAGTCTCGAAACTCTACTTACATACGAAAAATTTTGTTGGAATGTCTTTCATTTCGTTCGAAGAGGAATGTTGAAGGTATTTTGGCGATTTTTCTTCAATGATGGTGTCCTTTGATAATGTCCGTCAGATGATGGATGAGAGCGCAGCAAGGATTCATTGGGGTCGTAGATAGACCCACGGACCTATCCGCACAAATCTAGTCACCGCTCCAAGGCATTCCCCCTTCAGCTTCCGGCGGGGTCAACTTAACAATCCCTTCCACTCGACTCTTCAAACGAAATGAAAGCCACTACAACATCTATCTTTTAAGGGGATCTTCGCAACCCAGTTTTCCTACATACGAATATTTTATGAGTTCGTGGATAGATAGATAGGCTAGCAGGATTTGGTCTTTTATTATTGTAGGCTAATATTCTGTTATACTTGTTCTTGTACCGACTTTTGCTTCACATTAGGCTGAGTATAGCACGAATATATTTTTTAATGGCAGTTAGTAACCTGCATTCGAGGCAGGCAGCAGTTTGCTGAGCTGGGTCGAATCGGAAAGAATGTCAAGCACCGTCCTTACTCTTTGAAAAGCCAACTCACAAGCAAAATTGAGAGGCATTCGACTAAGATACCTCGAAGATAATGTTGTTTGGACTTGCATTTTGCAACTTAATTGGTGCGACAGGGACACCTTGTGGAGCGTACCTAGTCTTGCGTCTGGCATGATATTCATGATTTCCAGCATTGGACTGTTGACTTGGTACATTCCAAGACATCGTCAGTGAGAGGCGCCATCCTTTACAACTTATTAAAGTGAAAAGTGGAGGCAATCCTTTGGACTAATTTTCTTTTTGATCCTAGCTTTTAGTACTGCATCTCTGTCTCAACCCCACATCATATCACCCATTTAGCTATTCATACTAAATATATCGTATAAGCGTGTGGCTTCAACTGTATCTAGTGAAGCAAAATCAACTTCGCTACCGGTTGCAGACGGCGTTCGCAGGGTTTCTAGGTCATTGCCTCTGACTTATATTTAACCCTTTTCAGCTAGTTCGTCAGTTGTTCCATGTTATACATGAAAATCTCTATCTTGCTGCCTACTGGCCCTAGATTCCGACCCCCGTTTATCGCATGTTCAATGAGTTAAAGACTGGTGATTCTCATGCATAGGCATCTTTTCCCTGGGCACCTTATCATTTCTATCAACCTCACCCTCTCATTGTATGGTTTGATTATAAACCGCTGGCGTGAAAATTATCCGCTTTGCTTTTATTCTCCTGAATGACGGTAAGTACACTCATCTTGTTTATCAAGTTTACAGTCGAATCTTATGCTACGGTTCTAGTCAGTTGTGCATGTGGTAGCCTCCCTAGTCATATATTATCATCAATCACCTCTCACTACAAACACACACAAGCACGAATACACAGTGGTTTGATGCTGAAGATGATCATGAACAATCTAGCAGCTGGTGTGTCCTGCAGATGCTAACCATTAGCAGCAGGAACTAAGGTGATTAAGAAAGAGTTTATTTGAGAATGATTGCCAATTAGGATTAATTGAGAATTGCTTTAAAATACTAGAGAATAGTATTGGGGGAATCATTTATTTTGGGGCATGATAGGCTGCTGGTCCACTCGACTAGGGTCATGATGTTACCGTCGTGTCAGCTCTCGGAAGAGTTGGGTGGATTACTGAAAAAGTGGGACATGATGACATTTTATAAGAAGAAAATAACACTATCTAGTACTGCCATCTTTTGGGGAAATTTCGAACCTACTTTCAAAATCGGGCTGCAATAAGGTTTTGTGTTCATGTGTTAGCACCTATATTGGTGAGATTTGTCGACCTACACAAGAGGTTGTCTGAACAAAAAACGGCATGT